GTGTTTTTGTGGAAATTCAAGCGGCCAGTGTACATAGCTGGCAAGTTTTTCCTCAAAAGCAGCTGCTTTTGCGGAAAAACTTGCCAGTCTAGACACAGCCTTTGTGTGTAGACGAGTATTTCAAAATAAGTTATTTTGAATTAAAATATATATAGTCTCATGAGCTTTTGTGGGTAAAACCCACTTCATCGGAGTTATTAGGGATAGATGCACCTCACCCTGCAACTGGCCCACATTGCTCTGTTAATACACAAGTAGGGAATGTCTACACTGAGTACAACTCCATTCATCTGAAGAAGTGGCTTGTGCCCACAAAAGCTCATGATACCGTCTGTATTTTTGTTAGTCACTAAGGGTATGTCTACACTGCATTCCTCTTTTGAGAGATGATTGTATATGCAGGTGAGCAAAACTGCAAACGAAGCACAGATTTGAATTTCCTGCGGTTCATTTGCATAATCATGTCCGGGAGCTTTTTTGAAATACCATATTTCTAAAGAAAAAATTCAGTCTAGACAAGGTTATTTCGAAAAAAAAAAAAACCCTTCTTTTGAAATAACCCTTACTCCAGGTTTAAGGGTTATTTTGAAAGAAGGATTTTTTATTTTTAAAAAATTACCCCATCTAGACTACGTTTTTTCTTTTGAAATAGAGTATTTCAAAAAAGCGTCCAGACATGATTATGCAAATGAAGCATGGGAAATTCAAATCCACACTTCATTTGCAATTTCCCTCAGCTGCATTTGCTTTCCTCTCTCAAAGGAGGAATGCAGTGTAGACATACCCTAAGGAGCTACAGGACTATTTAAAGTTTTTAAAGTTTTTTCAGATATAGACTAACATGGCTACCACTCTGAAACTGGATAAGCATAGTACCTTTTGACTAATCAACAAGACTACTGGTTTTCACATGCCCACTTTAATTTTAATTACATAATTGGCTCCATAATTACAAGTAGTCTTGGCTACAAGAACCCTAAAAATGTGTTTAGGTGTTGAAAAATGTAACATTTGAAATGTTCATAGCTTAGCTTTAGTTTTCTCAGACCTGTACTTTTAGAGGAAGAGTCTTCTTAAGTGAAATATCTAAATTTGCTACATGATATCATGAGTGTTCCATATGTTTATCAATTTGTTAGTAAGCTACTAGGTGCCCTGTAAATTCCTTTTGCCCTAAAATGTCTCCATACCTTGAGGAAGGAATCAGTGTAAAACAAAGATGAAATGTGTTAACTAAAAAGGGCCTGTGTGATTTCAGATGGCAAATATTTAATTATAAAAGATATCCACTGTACATAGGTATAGAATCTGATCACATGCACTATATGAGTATGGACTTGTGCTATAGTTTAGGTCACTGGAATATAATAAGGATGCAAACTGGAAGTTTATAATATAAAGAGATTTATTTGGTACAATGTCGGTTTTCTTATACTCTTTCTCACAAAAAAAGTTGTACCATTTTCAGCTCTTGATTAAAATCTTTTTTCACTTAAAAATAGTGCTGTGATACTACAGTCATGTATTCTTGGGATAATAAGGATGTAATGTCCCATTTTGACCTTTCAAAATGATGTTTTGATTTGCTTGTCATCATGTTTCTTCTGACTTTACAATCTTATTAACCTGTGGAAAGAGAATGAAACCAGAGGCAGTTAAGATACAGAATACTAAGGAAGATCAAAGTAGTACAACACACAGAATAGAATAATATTTTGATACTTCATCATTATTGCATCAGAGCCTAACAAGAATGCTGAAGCGGTACATATTTAATACATCATCATGACAATTCAGAGACTGTAATCTGCATATCTTTAGAACTTATATCTGCCTGAAGGTATAGCACCTGTAGTCTGAAAGGCTACATATTTCCAGAGTCTTTAGAAATATTTTAGAGAAAGAGGAATAAAAACATTGCACCATAAGCCCCAAAGCAGGCATTTCAAGATAAGATAAGAGTGCATATGACTGAGGATCAAGTGCTGCCAGCCTTACAAAACTTCATAGATTCTTAGGTTGGTCTATACTAGAGAATTAGGTCTGTTTAACTAGATCAGTCGGGGGTGTGAAAAATCTACACCTGAGCATAACTCTGAAGCTGAACTAAATCCCCAGGTAGACCGTGCTGAGTCAATAGAAGTATTCCTCTCTTGACCTAGCTATTGCCTCTCAGGGAGGTGGACTGCTTGTGCTAGAGGGAGAATCTCTTCCATCCATGTAGGTAGTGTGTACTATGAAGTGCTGCAGTAACCCAGCTGAGCTGCTCTTGCATTTTAAATGTAGACAAACCCTCAGATACATAGATTTTAAGACTATTATTTATCTAGTCTCACCTCCTGCATAACACAAATTAAAGGATGTCCCAGTAATTTCTGCATCAAGCCCCTAATTTGTATTTTATTTATAGCATATCTTTTGGAAAGCTTAATTTACGGCCTACAAATCAGGGAGAATTTGAACTTTTAACCGTCAATAGGCCTTTTTATGTCTTAATTCTAGTTTGAATTTGCCTAGCTTCAGCTCCTAACCATTGGTTCTCAGTATGCTGTTTTCTGTTGGATTAAAGAGCTGTCGACTATCGAAAATTTCTTCTATATGTAGGTACTTCCAGACTCAAGAACTCAGCCTTGTCTTGGATAAATTAAACAGACTGAGCATTAGTCTTTCACTATAAGGTGACCATTAGTAATTTTTGTAGCTCTTTACTGAAGACTCTTCAATTTTTCTAAATCCTGTTTGAATTGTGGGCCCTAGAATGGGAGTTTATATTTAGTAATGGTTGTACTAATGCTATATATGTAATACCACCTATTCCTACTTGATATTCCTATTTTGTTCTAAGAATTAAATTTGCCTTCTTAACTACAGCACTAAACTTAGATCACATGTTCAATATGTTGTCTACCATGATCCCTAAGGGTACGTCAACACTACAACGTTAATTCGAACTAACTTAGTTCGAATTAGTTAATTCGAACTAAGCTAATTCGAACTAACGGATCCAGACTAAAAAACTAGTTCGAATTAGTGTTTTGCTAATTCGAACTAGCATGTCCACATTAAGTGGACCCTGAACCGGGGTTAAGGATGGGCGAAGCAGTGCCGTCAGGGAATCAGATGAGGACTTAGAGCGTGGAGATGCTGTCTCAGGCTAGCAGAGGGCTGTGCTTAAAGGGTCCCGACCCCCACCCCGGACAAACAGTTCTCAGGGGTGTCCCGCTTGCAAAGCAGTCCTGGCTTGGATTGCCCAGAGTACCCACACTGGGCACATCACAGCACTCAGCCATCAGACCGGATGCACTTGCTGCAGGCTGCCATCTGGGGAAAGAGGGTAATTGGGGGGCTGCAGGAGAGCTTCCACCCCCAGAAGCCCGCAGAACCAGCCCAGTCCTCCCCATCAGGGGCGCGTACCCCATTCCTCCCTCACCTCCTTCCACTTACCCTTCCCTAGCCCCCCTTCCTGATGTACAAAATAAAGAAAAC